GACAAGAAAGTTAAAGGATAGAGAGAGCCTGGGATCGAGGTTGAAGGAAGGCTTTTATGTAAAAACATAGGTAACGGTTGAAGTTGGAAATGCAACTCAGAAGATAAACATATTTCAACGTGTAAAACTTGCAGAGTATCACATTTTAAATTGAAAAATGGACCTATTTATTAGATTCAAATACACAATGCTTCTGTAATTCTTTGCGAAGTGAAATTATTTCAAAACTTTACAATAATATCTTAATAAAGTTAAATAAGCTTTCAATTTAAACTACTGAACAGCAATGCTTTGAACAAAGGCACTAAACGAAGGCAACTACGTGACACGCGAGTACGAAATTTTGTAGAAGATCGAGACGTCATGAATACTTTTAACTGTTAGCTAAACAATGAAAAATTTAAAACATATTTCTTTTAAATTTTAAAACATATATGTTCTAGATTGAAAGAGTTACTAAGCCCTGGAAAATTATGTCAAAAGGTACGGCGACTTCCAGTGTAGAATATACCGCTTGTTTTAGAATCACGCTTACTGTCACGCTGACTTGGGTAGGTCACTGAGAGGTATGCTTAAGGTATAATAGCGCCAGGGAGGAGCAAATGAAGCCAAATTATTAAACACTGAGAAAGCTCTAATAGTATAGAAAAAGATCGAAACGTTGTCCAGAGGCCAAGAGCGACATTCCATTTTACACAAAAAAAATGAGAATCCATGGTTTTTTTCAACCTTCAAAAAAGTCGTCACTAATTAACTTTTTCACCCCCAAAACTCCTCAAATTCCAAATTGCACACCCAAAAAGGCTCGCGCCCCTCCCTGTCACTATTATATCTGAGAATACACCATTATATCCGCCCATCCTTGGGCTTATTTTAGGGGCTAGCGCTGAAATCACGACTTTCTATCGCTCTGTTACGTTTGCAAACGCCATCTTAAAGGCCTAAGGTGGAGGAATGTTTTCCACCTCTGCGTTTTCGTTTTTGGCAGAGCAGCTGAGGGTTCTGAACAGCATATAACCTATAGTTTTTACATCTTTCTGTGCAACCGTCACAGTTCGTAATTTAAGAGACTGACAGCTACTCTAAAACGAGAAGCTTAATCATTTGTCGCAAATTGGTAGAAGGATTAGAGTTTCGCGTTTCCCTATAGATTTGTCCCCAATTCCCGAAGAATCTCCGATAGCGAAGGTCCAATGTCAGTGTTACTGTCTGGAAAGGCGACAACATTCTTCGCGTCTTCTTCTTTCAACTCCGCCATCAAACAAACTTCCAAATCAAAATTAAGGAGATCGATGAGGCGTGATGTCTGCGTTTCGAGAAAGCGCGACGCGTCCATTCCAAGATAGCGTGACGTATCTGCCTCGCAATAGCGTGACGTTTCATTGTCTGGCGTCGAGTCCTCGTCAGATGACGAGTCACTGTCCGGTACCATTTCAGGTAATGAATGTGCATGAAGATCCGAATCGAGAGGTCCCTGGCAACGGGCAGAGTACGCCCGGCCGTCCTCATCGCTTATTGCCACTGTCCAGTGCTCGTTTGAATACGCGTAGGACTTGTAAGCGCTGAAAAAGTCCTTGACCATTGCTTCCTCAAAAACACACTCCTCACTGTCTGCGTCCTGTGGGAAAACAGAGAAAACATCCAATTGAGCAGTGTCTTTGATATTGCCGAATCTCAATGGATAGAAAAACCTGCACTGTGATTGGCTACCCGAGCAGCAAGATGGCGCTATCTTGCCCGCTCGGGGTTAAACGCGTTGTCCCGCGAAAAAAATATTTGTTCATTATCCCATATAATAAATTCTTTATCGACCAAGCTTGTTCGGTCAAGAGGATGGCTTGATACTTGCCTCGTTCTTTGTGCTTGGTTATGGACCTCGACTCCGTACGTCTCGGTCCATAAACTCAACACGCAAATAAAGGACTAGGCCAAAATCCAGCCATCTTGACCTCACGGTTGGTCAATAGCCTATATATAAAAAACGCCGGTTATATGGAGATATCAAGAGAAAACCGGTGAGTGCAGATTGCTACTGATTGCGGGCGTCGTGCGAGACCTGCACATGGTGCCAGATCGCTTGATCGCGCGCAGCAGCCGGGCAAAATAAACTATATTTCTTACTCACCGTAGCGCGAAGAACTCCAGAATCATCAATGGTGAGGAAAAACTCGGTTTCTACTCCTGCAATTTTTACCAAGCCGGCTCCCACTGAGCAGATCTCTACAATAGCTGTTAAAATGGAACAAAAGATTACCAGTTACTATTGCCTGGATCTGTACTCTGTAGTCTCTCAAAATCCTACAGTGCTCCTGAAATTTTCTTTCTTCACAAAAAATCTTACCAAAGGAATATTCTTTTGACCCTTTTTATATCATTTGAATTTTTCAAGAGAACGAAAGTTTTGCCGATATGTAAGGCGTGGTTTGATCAGACGAGATCGACGCTCTTTGTACAATTCTGTCCCGCCTGCGAGTTTACCATGCTCAGTTTCACAACTGGATTTAAAACGATCACCACCTCGAGAAAACTATACACATTATTTTGATTGGCTATACCTAAGAATATCTATTGCAGTAAGCCTACCGTAAGGGGAATCTTTCTGCTTCGTTCCTTTAACGCTGCCATCCGGTTGAATTGTTAAATAATAACCACTGCGAAAAAGCAGTCTTCGTCTCCTCCCACACCTTCGTCCCATCAGAAACTCGCAGCAATCATCGGCGTTCATATTTTTGGCGTGTTTCTTCTTCCATTCCAGCGGCGACAGTGGCGGTGCTCTTTTGTTCCACTCTCTCTTGAGTACATCTTCCCAGTCGGTGTAATAAAACGGGTGCGTTTTTGTCCTCAGGCGAGAATTGACTCGCCCGGCAGAGTTTCGTAATAGCTGGTGCTTGGACATTTGTCTCTTTACGTCACACACGGTGTTGTCGTATATACTGGTCATCTTTTAATACCTGCTGGGAGATAAGGAAACCAAAGTCACGTATTTACATATCAGCACGTGCACTAAGTGGCACCAATCTCGTCTACATGCAGAGCCCGGCCCGCTATGCTTTGGCCAGCAGGTAGATCCTGGGGCCCTGGAGACGAGTTTATTTCAGGGGCTAAACGAGTCATCTCAGAGTCCTCCCTGGAGAATGGCAACAAATCTACACGCGCTTAAACAGCCAATCCGAATAAAATAAGAGGATTCTGCACGATGATATGAAAGCGAATTCCTTCAAATTAGAAATATAATGAAACGTTCTATTCTATTCCTCATAATACTGCACAGAAAAACATAATTATTATATAAATATAAACACATTGAGATACCCAAAACCACACAAGTTGACCGAAGTTTTAGGGTCACACACGGGCTGAATCGACAAAAAAGGAGTTACCAATAGTTAAGACAGAGCTAGATGCGTTTTTGTGCAAAGTAGCTGGGTTATAAACCCTGACAGGCGATTACATAACATATCTTTGCTATGAGCCAACTAGTTCTAAACTGACGCAAAGATCAGTTACAAGGCAGTTTCGAGACTACAGTTTTTCAACCCAGACATCATCCACAAACTTGTACAACGATATAAATAAATACGACTGCTGGAATATTGTGAGATAGGTACCTCAAAACAGACCTCCTCCTTGCAGAGCGATCGCGCCAACGATAAGATGCAGGAACAAGTAAATCAGCCCGGCTGTACGAAATATATCATCATTGATAACGCGTGTCTATTCATTTGTTGTTACCAACGCTAGACATATTTAGATAATCTTTAGAAGCTGTCTTTCTATGTCAGAGACATAATATGATCTTCATTCTTGATACAATCTAAGCGCGTTGAAAAGAAGCTAAAGGAAGCTCTTAAAACTGAAAATCTCACCAAAAATAACTGGAGGAGTTGCTTATAATAGCACACATCAAAGGGAAACCCGGTTTAAAATATTATGAGATTCAAGGAATAATTTCTATACGTGAGAATGTCTAATCTTACAGAACCGCGTAAACTCTAGAGCCGGGATATCCAAACACCAACACACGATTATGAAACAAAAGGGTAAAGAAAAAATTCTCAAGCCGATTTTACGTCTTATATATTGCAAAACAAATACTTCACGATAGTCAAGGCAAACAATCTTTGTCAAACAAAATAGCTATTAAATAATTTCGATTGTGACAGTGCAGTGATATTTTCACGGGGGCGAAGTGTAGACGAATATAACGTCCATTTCAGTACCTGTTTTCCTCTTCTCGTTGTTGTAAATGGTAGAGTGGAACGGCCTTAGTAATGAAGTTTAGAGAGCACTGCAGCCTCCACAACATCAACGTGGCGCGCGTTTACTGTGGTACAGGAAGAATGATCCTTGATCCAACTGAATAACTTCTCAAACTTGACAGAAACTGCAATTAATTTACATACCGGTCGACGAGTTTTTTCGTCAATTATAGCAAGCACTTGCCACGTCCTCGAAACCATCAATCATCAAATATTTCAACAACGCTGACGAATTTTCGCTCAGAACCATTTCTACAGTGTCATTTTTGCCATGTGCCGCACAGTTCTATTCCTAGTTTATCCTTTTTTATTTTCAGTCTCGCTTGTGGTTAATATGTGCGTCACCGTTTGGTAACGATCGGAAACTATTCCCGTGCAGTGCCAGAGGGATTTTGTTTAAACTCAATTCGGCCGGAAAAGTATGTTGGCCTTGAACCTTGCATTCCGCAATGCCAACGTGACCGGACCATCGCGGGTCTTCCAGCACGCCGAAAAAAGAAAGCAAGCCTGCTTGAGGCTATTAACAAGTGGCTATGAAAAAAGAACCTTTGTGTTCGGATGATGTATAGGATACCGCCTAACTATTATCTGGTCGCCATATAAAATTCAAATAATTCCTTTCCAGTTGAACAACGCATGAAGAGTGAATGAAAAATTGTAAATGTGGCCAATATGTTCAGCTACTGCGGTGTGCGCAAGCGTAAAATCGTTTTCTAGCTCACACAAAGCGTTATACCGGACTCGAACTCCACGACTTCCAGATTTCAGACTAGAAAGTATCCTGCTTTAATGTTTTCCACTTCTTTCTAAGTCTCGTCATTTCGTGACGATGGAATTAACCCAGTTTTAAAGCACTTTAAATGCGGTTATGTTAGTTTTGCACGATCGGGCGCGCACTAAAAAGGATTACAACGGTGGGTGCAGTGACATCTTAACTTGTCTCTTTCTTCCGTGACTAAACGATAAGATTCAAGGATTATGGTTAGTTTATGTTAGCAACTTGAAGAGTACAGGACGAGGGTATATAGTGACCGGTTAAAGACGGTTTTCCGGAGATCAGACCATCGAAACCGAAAACAAATCACGAGATTTCAACTCTGAATCATCGCAAAAGTTTATATCTAGAAACAAGAAAATATCATCCGTCAACAGGCTCATTTTTTATAGTCCATTACATTAATTATAGCCCTTGCAGTTGATTATATTTAAAGAGCGCAAAACTGACAGCCATATTGGAAACAGCTATCCCGCTGATTTTATAACACGTCATATTTCGTGCAGTGTTTCGAGGGGCTAGAAAATCTTGTCAGCAAAGCTCGCTTATTAAAATTTAGTAGTTTAAGTTAGATTGACCACTTTGTACGCGGAATAAGCTTTTCACTGGCGATACGTGATTCCAAAGGTTTTTAGGAGCAAAAGGTGAACGTTTTTTAACGCACTTAGAGTGTTACCTTACCAGTCAATAAATAACGATTAGCAAGTTTTGTAACCCTCTTTAAAAAAACGTAAAAAATTGACTTCTACTAATAGATCTATTCAACTGGTTATCTCGAATACTACCGAATACCTCCTAGAGAGTAACCGCAACAAATTAAACACACAAACAAAAGTTAACTGCAGTTTACCACAACAATAAACAATGTACACTTGTATTGTAAGACATTTTTTGTGTGAGTTTACGATTCACTCACCGATCTGTAATACGTACGGTTATTTTACGGCCAAGCGCAGGAAACATTCAGCTGTAGAAGGAAAAGGCAATTTTGTGTACAGTGAGGAAAAATGACCACCAGTATTACGATTAAAAACACGTCACGATTTATGTAAGAATCAAATTTTTTTTTTTCTGTTTAGGAAATGAGCTTGGGAAGACTTTTCACAACCGCTAATCGAGCCTATAGAAAGATCTTCACTGTGCGAATTCATCGGATGTTGTTGTTTGACTGATTTGATATTAATCAGCAACAGCGAATTCACGCGATTCTCTTGGAACTGCAGAAAGGGGTCAGTATCGTTTGGGCAATAACTCCTAGTCCAATAAATAATATTGTTACCGTTGGTGTTTCTGATGATGTTTCAGTTATTTACTAAAAGTTTTTCGTGCCTTAAAACCTTTCTTTCATCTTGACCTTAAAACAGCCTTCCTTTACTTTGGAACTATAAAAAGTTTATTTTGTAAGTTAACATAACATGTCTAATAGCTTAGTCGGGTTAGTAACTTGTAAGGGGCAAGAATTCCGGCATTTATTTGCTTGCTTCATAGTTATTCACGAGTCATTAGCGACCCGTTGCCGGCAAATCGAGAGTTCTCAGCGGGCAAGTGACAAAGCTTTTCCAAGCATTAATATTCTTGTTCTACCTGTTTCAGTTGTAGACGAACGTGACCAGTTTACACAATCGTATGTGTGACAAAAGGATTGGCCATTGAGAAACAATACAATTCAGTGAAAGAACGGGAAATGATTAAGCGTGGAAAGCCTATATTACACAGAAAATGGCAACGGATTACGAAGAGGCCAAAGAAAACAAAGTTGGACAGCGGGGAGGGTGTGTGCGATCAATCATAATCTATCACAATGGTGTCGCTTCGTACGTTTGTTTCTGGCAATAATGGTTTGATCCACTTTTGATTTAATAAAGATTGTTGTTTAAAGGTTATACCACATAGCGTTCGGAATTGTGCCCTTTTCCGGATTTAAAACCTCCACCATAAGAATCTGCTAACAGCCACAACAATTAACAAGATTTGCCTGCCAAATACAACATTACCGGCATGACATTACCTTGGTCCCAGACAAAACGCAGATACTACCTGATTATAAAGTGTCATATCTGACTATAATATCCTTTCTAGACGAACATGATCGGTTCGCCCTTTGTGACCCAAAAATCTAAACGCTTTGCTCTAATTTTCTGCAATCATGCCCTTTACGACATAATTGAGCCAGACTGGCATTTTTGCCATGTTCATTCCAGAAATTCGAAGGTTTGGTTTGAACGTTTGATCCGAACCGTTGTTCACTGCCGTTCAAACTTTTCTCGATCTTATCATGTGACCCTTAAAATGTAATTGTTTTCTAATCGAAACCCCAACTGTGTTCACGCGCCACTAATGATAATATTTAAAATGCAAAGAAAAAAGAAATTTAAACATCATACCTTAAAGAGGTTGTACCAACAAACTTCAGGCGTGCTTTACACAGCAGTGATTGCAAAAACGCCCCTCAATATTCACTGATATTCGGATATAATAAAGTCTACAACGTGAGATAATATTAATTCTTATGCTAATGTGAAACGCGACAATGGCGCTCAACGACGCGTTTAGTTACGCTGCTGTTTTGTTTACAAACCACAAAATATTTCGAGGCCCACATAGCATTGTTAAGTTGAACAAAGTCAGAATATTTAACACTGGCCCAAGGGGTTTGCAAAATACGACGCCGTGTAGACCCGATATGTGGTTGCTTTTATATCTTTTGTGATCACTCATACTTATCTTATCTCCGCTTTTATAGCAGACAATAGATTTCTCAATAAAGGAACCGAGAAAGTATCTCTTGATTGCGACTGAAAGACGTTAAACCCTCGGTGAAGACTTCGTGCTCGATGAAAGCATCGAGATTTATAGACGAACAATATCACACTCTGTTGAACATCATGTCCCCGGACGCGTTTCGACATGAATCGGGTACGGTCTGGCACGACACCAAAAAATCGCCTACACTTACCTTCCTAAATCTGATAGGGATCACGTATAATTCAGTGAATTCGTAGACAAATTTCAAGAATCTTCGTTCGCCGTTCAAATCTATTCCGAAAACAGACTAGGGAATCACCACCTCACGGGGTTCTTTCCAGGGTGCCTATAAATCTGCTTGTTGACAGATGCCTGTTCAAATGCGTCGTCTTATAAGCTTTCATTCAACGCGTCCTGTCAAAGGCTTTANTCTGTGCAACCGTCACAGTTCGTAAATTAAGAGACTGACAGCTACTCTAAAACGAGAAGCTTAATCATTTGTCGCAAATTGGTAGAAGGATTAGAGTTTCGCGTTTCCCTATAGATTTGTCCCCAATTCCCGAAGAATCTCCGATAGCGAAGGTCCAATGTCAGTGTTACTGTCTGGAAAGGCGACAACATTCTTCGCGTCTTCTTCTTTCAACTCCGCCATCAAACAAACTTCCAAATCAAAATTAAGGAGATCGATGAGGCGTGATGTCTGCGTTTCGAGAAAGCGCGACGCGTCCATTCCAAGATAGCGTGACGTATCTGCCTCGCAATAGCGTGACGTTTCATTGTCTGGCGTCGAGTCCTCGTCAGATGACGAGTCACTGTCCGGTACCATTTCAGGTAATGAATGTGCATGAAGATCCGAATCGAGAGGTCCCTGGCAACGGGCAGAGTACGCCCGGCCGTCCTCATCGCTTATTGCCACTGTCCAGTGCTCGTTTGAATACGCGTAGGACTTGTAAGCGCTGAAAAAGTCCTTGACCATTGCTTCCTCAAAAACACACTCCTCACTGTCTGCGTCCTGTGGGAAAACAGAGAAAACATCCAATTGAGCAGTGTCTTTGATATTGCCGAATCTCAATGGATAGAAAAACCTGCATTGTGATTGGCTACCCGAGCAGCAAGATGGCGCTATCTTGCCCGCTCGGGGTTAAACGCGTTGTCCCGCGAAAAAAATATTTATTCATTATCCCATATAATAAATTCTTTATCGACCAAGCTTGTTCGGTCAAGAGGATGGCTTGATACTTGCCTCGTTCTTTGTGCTTGGTTATGGACCTCGACTCCGTACGTCTCGGTCCATAAACTCAACACGCAAATAAAGGACTAGGCCAAAATCCAGCCATCTTGACCTCACGGTTGGTCAATAGCCTATATATAAAAAACGCCGGTTATATGGAGATATCAAGAGAAAACCGGTGAGTGCAGATTGCTACTGATTGCGGGCGTCGTGCGAGACCTGCACATGGTGCCAGATCGCTTGATCGCGCGCAGCAGCCGGGCAAAATAAACTATATTTCTTACTCACCGTAGCGCGAAGAACTCCAGAATCATCAATGGTGAGGAAAAACTCGGTTTCTACTCCTGCAATTTTTACCAAGCCGGCTCCCACTGAGCAGATCTCTACAATAGCTGTTAAAATGGAACAAAAGATTACCAGTTACTATTGCCTGGATCTGTACTCTGTAGTCTCTCAAAATCCTACAGTGCTCCTGAAATTTTCTTTCTTCACAAAAAATCTTACCAAAGGAATATTCTTTTGACCCTTTTTATATCATTTGAATTTTTCAAGAGAACGAAAGTTTTGCCGATATGTAAGGCGTGGTTTGATCAGACGAGATCGACGCTCTTTGTACAATTCTGTCCCGCCTGCGAGTTTACCATGCTCAGTTTCACAACTGGATTTAAAACGATCACCACCTCGAGAAAACTATACACATTATTTTGATTGGCTATACCTAAGAATATCTATTGCAGTAAGCCTACCGTAAGGGGAATCTTTCTGCTTCGTTCCTTTAACGCTGCCATCCGGTTGAATTGTTAAATAATAACCACTGCGAAAAAGCAGTCTTCGTCTCCTCCCACACCTTCGTCCCATCAGAAACTCGCAGCAATCATCGGCGTTCATATTTTTGGCGTGTTTCTTCTTCCATTCCAGCGGCGACAGTGGCGGTGCTCTTTTGTTCCACTCTCTCTTGAGTACATCTTCCCAGTCGGTGTAATAAAACGGGTGCGTTTTTGTCCTCAGGCGAGAATTGACTCGCCCGGCAGAGTTTCGTAATAGCTGGTGCTTGGACATTTGTCTCTTTACGTCACACACGGTGTTGTCGTATATACTGGTCATCTTTTAATACCTGCTGGGAGATAAGGAAACCAAAGTCACGTATTTACATATCAGCACGTGCACTAAGTGGCACCAATCTCGTCTACATGCAGAGCCCGGCCCGCTATGCTTTGGCCAGCAGGTAGATCCTGGGGCCCTGGAGACGAGTTTATTTCAGGGGCTAAACGAGTCATCTCAGAGTCCTCCCTGGAGAATGGCAACAAATCTACACGCGCTTAAACAGCCAATCCGAATAAAATAAGAGGATTCTGCACGATGATATGAAAGCGAATTCCTTCAAATTAGAAATATAATGAAACGTTCTATTCTATTCCTCATAATACTGCACAGAAAAACATAATTATTATATAAATATAAACACATTGAGATACCCAAAACCACACAAGTTGACCGAAGTTTTAGGGTCACACACGGGCTGAATCGACAAAAAAGGAGTTACCAATAGTTAAGACAGAGCTAGATGCGTTTTTGTGCAAAGTAGCTGGGTTATAAACCCTGACAGGCGATTACATAACATATCTTTGCTATGAGCCAACTAGTTCTAAACTGACGCAAAGATCAGTTACAAGGCAGTTTCGAAACTACAGTTTTTCAACCCAGACATCATCCACAAACTTGTACAACGATATAAATAAATACGACTGCTGGAATATTGTGAGATAGGTACTTCAAAACAGACCTCCTCCTTGCAGAGCGATCGCGCCAACGATAAGATGCAGGAACAAGTAAATCAGCCCGGCTGTACGAAATATATCATCATTGATAACGCGTGTCTATTCATTTGTTGTTACCAACGCTAGACATATTTAGATAATCTTTAGAAGCTGTCTTTCTATGTCAGAGACATAATATGATCTTCATTCTTGATACAATCTAAGCGCGTTGAAAAGAAGCTAAAGGAAGCTCTTAAAACTGAAAATCTCACCAAAAATAACTGGAGGAGTTGCTTATAATAGCACACATCAAAGGGAAACCCGGTTTAAAATATTATGAGATTCAAGGAATAATTTCTATACGTGAGAATGTCTAATCTTACAGAACCGCGTAAACTCTAGAGCCGGGATATCCAAACACCAACACACGATTATGAAACAAAAGGGTAAAGAAAAAATTCTCAAGCCGATTTTACGTCTTATATATTGCAAAACAAATACTTCACGATAGTCAAGGCAAACAATCTTTGTCAAACAAAATAGCTATTAAATAATTTCGATTGTGACAGTGCAGTGATATTTTCACGGGGGCGAAGTGTAGACGAATATAACGTCCATTTCAGTACCTGTTTTCCTCTTCTCGTTGTTGTAAATGGTAGAGTGGAACGGCCTTAGTAATGAAGTTTAGAGAGCACTGCAGCCTCCACAACATCAACGTGGCGCGCGTTTACTGTGGTACAGGAAGAATGATCCTTGATCCAACTGAATAACTTCTCAAACTTGACAGAAACTGCAATTAATTTACATACCGGTCGACGAGTTTTTTCGTCAATTATAGCAAGCACTTGCCACGTCCNAAGCCGTTCTTGTGGGTAGAAGTATAAATATTTGCCCTCAAAGGTAATCAACTGTCTGTGGCGAAACCCCCGTTCTTTTGTTACGTCTTCAGGTACACCTACTCATTCAGTGTCCCTTTCGGTTCCGAAACTGACGATTTCGCGCAAGAAGTCTTTTATCTTTCATCACTTCTCTAGCTTCTAAAATCTAAGTCTAAAAAGGTCCAAGTCTTTCACTGGACACAATTAGATCTAGACCCGAGGCTGAACTGGAAAAAAAAATGTAAAATCGTACTGTACTAATTTGGCTACCAACACAAGGAACGTAGTGAGAGTGCGGCGCGCGGCGTTTTCATTGATGAGATCAGCTTGGAGCGGTTCCTTCCCTGTAAGATGTTTACAACCGGAATTTGAATATAAAATAATGGAAATTCCGGAGTAAAATACTGAAATTGTAAATGTTACTTGTTTTGGTTTCCTCTCGGATTTTGAGTCAATTAAGTCCCCGTTAACAACAAATTTTCAGAATTTAGATGCCTCACTAAATTGCGAAGCCAGGCATTTCAAATGAGCTTAGCCAGTTTTGTCCGATTGAAATTTTAAAAGATTTAACTATGGAATTAATTGTCCTAAAAACCCAGACAAAACAAGATGAAATAAAAATGAAACTAAAAGCCTCACTGCACGCTTTTCGTGCTTTTATCCCTTTTCTAAGGTATTAAAAAATTTAACCGAAGTCATAAGTCTCACCTGTTGTTCCCAATGTTGTTTTCTAACTCTGAATAGCTTGGTCTCTCTTGTTCGACTCGTGACTCAAAGCAACTTCTCCGAAAGATTGCTCAGCGATTTTTGATGACTTAACTAATTCCTGCTCATGCAGGTCACTCCCTCAAGCGGGAACAATTTCCTGCGCATACATATGGATTTGGTTACAATCTATTTATTTCCTTTCATACCATTCTGTGTGTTTATTCAAAGATTCGCTTTGATAGATTAGAAGGGAAAGAAATTTCCGTCACATTTGATTTAATACGACTTTTTGGTTTTTCATTCTTCGGTGCGAGATCAAACCGATAGCCACACAGCTTGACAGGTACGGATCTCTAAAGCCGTGAAATAAAGATTATCCAGCGCGCTGTTAGGCAACATTCCAAATTAAACCTGAAAATAGCCATGCATGAATCTTATGACTGCAGCTCATGACTACTGTCTGACTTGGCGGCATATAACCCCCGCTTTTCCGCTTTTCCGGCCACAATCCAAACCCGCACAATGAAATTATGAACGCATGACGCTTTAGTTAGTATTGAGTTTGGCCACGGGCTCCTGCTATTAAAATTCAAAGAAGCAAATCCAATTTTCTATATAACTTGTGTCTAACAAGCACGAAAATCAACATTTATAAACACATTTTTTCGTTATTCCACGTCACTTTCTGGTATTATCCGTATTCACCCCCAACTTCCGGCAGTTGTTAACTTTGTACTTGTTCAGCGACCTTTGCTCGCATTTTTCAAATCATCCTTGCCTGGCGCGCGGATGTGTAACGTGATGTATACGTTTATCAAAACATGAGATATGGCATGATATAATAGCGGCGGAATATGGAATTTTCCTCCATTTTTTTTTTTTTTTTTTTTTGCGCGTGCAGTCGTGGTGGGCACTGAATCAAAGAAATCCTTGACATGTTTGTTTTCGGTTTCGTAAAGGAAATAAAAAAATTAAAAATTAAAAAAAACACGTGTTTTGTCCGAGACCCTCAGGCCCTGATAAGCATCGTACCGTACTGGCCACGCCATTTCCCTCTCTTGAACAGGCGGACAGTCACTGAGAGTTTCAGCTTACAGGCCAGGGCTGACAAAACCCTTACCTTTTGGCCTGGGTTCTCTATACATTAGCAGAATGATCTACAAAGTCAACTTTATAACAGTACACAAACTTAGTTAACAAATAAATCTTGCTTCTGTTTTATTGTTAAAGAGACCCGTTACGCTCCGTAGATGATGATCAGTGTTGTAATTCCCACGGCATGCATGGTTGACAGTGTATCTATATCACGAGGAGAAATAATATAATGAACATATTGATCCTTGATCAAGAGTTTTATCAAGAATCCTCAACGCCACTATACAAAGCGCACCAATGAGACCAACAACACTGCTACAGTCAATCTAATTAATAGCAATCCTTTACATAATACTGATGATATTTACATCGCAATTAGCCATAATTATTACCTGATCCAGCAGGTTTGCTTTACCTAGGAAATACCGGTTTCTTGTCGAGAGTCCTTCGTCATGTACTTAAAAGATCCAAAAGGGTCAAACAAAGGATCAGGCGGAAAACGGGAGCCTTGAATTGAGGAGAAAGTTCCACAGCGTTTTCCGGGTTCCTTTGTCAAAACGTACCCACGCAAAAGGAAATTTGAGAATCTGCGATCTGAGAGAGATGATTATCGCTGGTACGGTCGTGCTGGCCTCGCTGATTCTCCCATGCGTTCGCTATCATGACAGAGAAGTGCATATGAGTTGTTCAATTTGACTGGCGGGGGAGTTTATACGTTCCTGAGCCATCAAGGTCATTCATGCAACGATCAGGAGTGAATGTATGGGCGTGACACACCGAAGACACTACGTGGTATCTCTGCCCCTACCACTCCTCCCCTATAAAGTTCTGTCTTGATCTTGATGGGTTCGACAAAGGCACATGTACCACCTTTTCAGTTCCCTGTTTCGTTGGTACCGTTTAGTTTCAGATGGTTTAATTTCGCTTGGCTTTGCCAAGTTGTTTACTTCAGTACTCGGTGTGTGACAAAATTCCTGATGAGATTTCGATTGTACTTAAAATATTTTTTTTAAATACGTGTTCATTATCAAACTTACCATTTTTAGCAAGCGTGCACAGTATTCGCACAGACCCACGAAAACTGTGAGACATATCTTTTAGCATATCTCTCTGTCCAACCTCCTCTGCTTTTAGCCAGTGTTACAGAGTTCGTCACAGGCGTTGTAACCCCTTATGTCACCTTGGTGATTAGGTTGGATAAATTTAGACTTAGTCCTCCAAATATTTCTGTGATTAATTATTTTGTAATAAATCTTAACAGTCAAAGATATTCAGTCATAACACCAGATGTCGACCTAGAAGCGACTTATACTTATTTAACCCTAACTATAAATTTAGACTAAGAACTGAAGACGTTCAAAATTAATTCACAGTCACTCTTTGATCTCAAGAACCTTCTTAACAAGATTTTATTATCAGTAAAATCAAGTCTTTATACAATCAGTTTTAATCGACAATTATTATCAGAGATGAAATTTCTATATATTTTTAACAATACTCAGATTGTACATACACTCTCTTTTCATAAGAACATATTTTATAAGGATATCGAAGCTGAAATTTGTGAAATTTTAAAAAATATTTTAAAAATAAGCCCGAAAAAAATATTGAACACTTCTACGATTTTTGAGTAAGCCGTATAAAATTCTTCCTTTCTCTAAACGGCAAAACTAGCCAAAAAGTAACCAAAAACAGTTCTAGCCGTATGTTCGATCCTAATAACATTTCTGTAAGAAGTTATGTGCGTTATATTAGACTGAAATGCCCGCAGGCTGGCTCCAAGATTACTTTAGCACCATTCAGACACTAAATACATTGAAAATAGAAATGTCGTGCGCAATTATCTAAGAATATTCCCAAGAGTATTTTCAGCCTAAAATCGGTAGAAAATATAAATAAAAAAGAGAGTGGACAAAAAAGGGCGAAAACAGCACTAGCCTTACGTATGTTCTATGCTAATAACATTTCTGCGAGAAAAAGCTATATGCGTCATATCCGGTTTTAATGGCTGCAGGCTGGCTCCAAATTTACACCAAATACATTCGAAAATAGTACGCTATAACCTAAGAATATTCACAAGAATATTTTCAGCCTAAAATCGAAAGAATAGAAAAATTAATAAGAGTATTCAGCCCCGGCCGCTGAAAAAGTATTATTATCTTTTTTAACAAAAGAGTACATTCAGTGTTTTTTTTTGATACATAATTCAATAAATGTTTTTATATTTATAGACATTATAGAGATTAAGCATGACGTTACGTCAAACGGCAAACGGTGCGCAAAAATGAACCTTTGACCGTCTGTCTTCAGCTGTCTGTACAGTAGAGTGAAAATATTTGTATTTGCGGTGAATAGTAGGAGACATTTGGCTATTTTTGTGTAATTATTTAAGGATTAAAAGGAAAAAACGTCATGCTTAAACTCTCTATTATATTATATCTTGTAGTAGTTAGAGATTACGCCAAGAGCTCTATTCCAGCGAAGAAGACAGAACCGTAGCGCTGAAAGGGCCACCCTGCATAAATCAGGACGATTTGACTTGATAGACTTGATCACCCGCCGGTTAAAATTACAAGCTCCTTATGCTGAACTCTCTCTCTCTCTCTCTCTCTCTCTCTCTCAATCGATTCTCAAGAGTCGGCAACTATCAAGATGTTGATCTGAAATTTTAGAATAAAGAAAACTTTTCTTGTATGATATAGGTATTGATTTAGACACCATAGATACCATATTTCGAAGGAAATTAAGATTTCTCTGAAATATAGTCTAAACTGATTGGCTATCAGTTACCCAGGCGGAAAATGTCATCGTTTTGTTTAATGGGGTAGACATGTATCGGCTAACTTCTAAATTTAGCCCTAGCCGGAAGCTCGTCACCTCACATTCCTTTTCGTTTCCCAGCAACTTCTCCTCATGGACAGAAATACCAATTTCTTTCTTTCTTTCTTTCTTTTTTTTAGGAAATAATCCTGTGGGTTCCTCGGGTCATGAGTTATACCTGCGCCAAGACGTCATTGCCAATTTTAATCATTTCAGTAGAGATCAAGAACAGCCGTTTAGAATATGCTGGTTCAGGCCCCGATCAAACTACGCCGGAGGAGCTCAGTTGAAAACGGAGGTTTCACTCTGAAAACGCATCAAACGTTTTCCGTCCACACCGACACCCGGAGGAATTTTAAAACGCAACTGAGTCGCCGGTTTCTTCGCTCTGCTCACCAACTAACAGAAAGCTTGTTGGAACAGGCCGCAAAAGCATCGCGAAACGGGACCAGTAATGGAGGACGGACCCAACAACATAGTTTGTCCAGACCCTCTATTGTGTCTTGAGTTCGTCGAGATCGCAAGCTTAATTAGCAAAGTATTACCCAGCGCAGAGGATGAGAACGAACCAAAACCCAAGGGGGTGCGGCTATCACAACCCAAGACCTGTTTCGTTTAAAAACACGGTTTAAATTGCCTGATGCATAAATATTTTAACAGTGAGGTTTACGACGCACTTATTTTTCAAGTTAGCTAGTTGAACTTTAGCAAGTTCAGTTATCCTGATAGTTTCAATAACGAATCGTGTTAATCAAGAATGGAAAGTGGTGTCTGGTCAACAATATACTGCAGCCATTTCATTTGCAAATTAACCATGGCGTGAGCAAAGCGCGAACCAACATGCAGTTAATTGTCTAAAATATAGTTAATCCTGAGGGAAATGGTTAAGAAGCCCGGAAAACATCAAAGAGGCAAACAAACAGCTGATATTTATGTTGGAAGGTCCTTGACCCTGCACATCTCATTGACTAGATGAATAACCTAATCGCACTGATTCTATATATTGGTTTGTTGTATGAGCACACCTAATCACCTTCCAGTGTCTTTTGCCAAGTTTTGTGTAGGGTCAACCCCCAAAATAGTTAACAAAAACATACAACAAAAAACTTTGTCAGGTCTCTTGAACGTTCCTCTCTATTGACCATGTCTAAAAGAAAAAGGCATCTCCTGCTTTTCGTTACCGCCAAACACTATTTACACCGGAAATTCAACAGGCTGAAAATCCTGATTAAAAAACTCTTATTTTCACCCGTCCTTGATGGCCTCCGCGTCTGAGCTCAGACAGCCTAGACGTGCAGGAAATACACTTCCTTCCTTAAAACAATCGTAAAACTGGCTTGCGGTGTGAAGGTGCAAAGAGAGATGAATAGATTTCATCATTGTTTGTAACACGTACTTCACAAATGTCAAAGGGTTTTCAACACCAAGGTTTTCAGAGACTGATAATCGATGATGTTTTTCGCCTGCCAAGATCTCCAGCTCTGTTTTGCCTTCCACTCTCGGCTTACATAACAATTAAAGATAGGGGTTATTCCCAGGCAAGAAAAGAGTGAGTCACTACTGAACTGGTCAGCAAGTTTCGACTTATACATAACAATTGGAGGTAGTTACTCCTTGCCAAGAAACGACGAGTCACTATTGAGCTGATCAGCAAGTTTCGATTTATCTGCTTCGCTAAGCTAAGAACCTAATCAAAAATTTCCATCAAGCGTAAATTAGTCGTGGGTGACTTGTGGAAGACCTGAAATTAAGAGCTGAGTTTTAAAATTCCTCCGGCGTAGTGTGTACGCGGTTCGTCTGCGACAGGATTTGGAAAGACAGGCAAATCGAACGAATATTTTGAAATCTTAAAAAGAACAAATAACGAGAAACGGTTTAACCTTATTTGTATCCTTATGCAGAGTTATTCCGGAGTCATTTTTGTCGAACAAAGCTGGCGACGAGTGCCGCGCAAGAAAGCGTAAGAACAGCGTTCTTTCGCTGCCCGTCCCAAGTCCTTCCCCATTCTTCTCTCGCCATTTTTCGCTCTGCTCACCAACTCACAGAACGCTTGTTGGAACAGACCGCAAAAGCATCGTGAAACGGGTCCAGTAATGGAATACGAACCCCACAACATAGTTTGTCCAGACCCTTTATTTTGTCTTGAGTTCGTCGAGATCGCAAGCTTAGCAAAATATTACCCAGCGTATGGGATATGAACGAGCCAAAACCAAGGGGGTGGGGCTATCGCAACCCGAAAACTTTAGCAAGTTCAGTTATCCTGATAGTTTCAATAACGAATCGTGTTAATCAAGAATCGAAAGTGAAGGTGTCTGGTCAGCAATAATATACTGCAACCATTTCACTTGCAAATTAACTATGGCGCCAGCAAAGCGCGAACAAACATGAAGTTAATTGTCTAAAATATAGTTAACGGGAAATGTTTAAGAGGCCCGGTAAACATCAAAGAAGCAAACAAACAGCTGAGATTTATGTTGGAAGGTCCTTGACCCTGCACATCTTTTGTTTTATGCTCATGACTAGATGAATAACATAATCGCAATGAGTCTATTGGTTCGTTGTATGAGTACACCTAATCACCTTCCAGTGTATTTTGCCAAGTTTTGTGCAAGGTCAACCCCAAAAATAGCCAACAAAAACATACGACAAAAAACTTTGTCAGGTCTCTTAAACATTCCCCTCTCTGATTAACCATGTCTAAAAGAAAAAGGCATCTCCTGCTTTTCGTTATCGCCAAAACACTATTTACACCGGAAATTCAACAGGCTGAAAATCCTGATTAAGATGGAACTCCTATTTTCACACGTCCTTGATGGCCCCAGCGTCTGAACTCAGACAGCCCAGACGTGAAGGAAATACACTTCCTTCATTAAAACAATGGTGAAACTGGCTTGCGGTGTAAAGGTGCAAAGAGAGATGAATTGATTTCATCATTGTTTGTAACACGTACTTCACAAATATCAAAGGGTTTTCAACACCAAGGTTTTCAGACACTGATAATCGATAATCAATGTTTATCGCCTGCCAAGATCTTCAGCTCGACTGTTCTGCTTTCTACTCAGCACATAACAATTGAAAATAGGGGTTATTCCCAGGCATGAAAAGGGTAAGTCACTGCTGAACTGGTCAGATAGTTTCGACCTGTATATAACATTTGGAGATAGTTACTCCTTGGCAAGAAGAGACGAGTCACTATTGGGCTGATCGGTGAGTTTCGATTTAGAATTCGCTAAGCTAAGAACCTTATCGAAAATTTCCATAAAGCATAAATTAGTCGTGGGTGACTTGTGGAAGATCTGAAATTAATTAGAGAGATTAGCCGGAAACCTCTTTATAAAAACCTGGCGTCTGATGCAAACTGAGATAAAATAAGAAGTCCCTCTACTCATTGTTCGGATAGCTATTTTTGTAGTTTTCGATAGAATACTGAAAGCAGGGCTCCTGACTGAAAGCCATCTCTCACAGGTTGTCTGATCTATGCACTCAAATTTCACTCGCTTTCTTTTGAGCTTTTTTTTTTTCAGTAAAAAAAGAAAAAGGTGTCAAGAGGTCTGCAAAGAAAAAATAAATGCGATTTAGTGGGCCATAGCGCAGAAAGCGCAAAAAGAAAGGGAGGGTTTGAGTATCGTTTCATTCTTCGCACTCCGAGACTCTGAAAACAACTAAAATTTCGCTCGACGAAATCTTGCGAACTTTTACGTGAAGAAACGTACAAGGTAGATGACCGGGAAATGACCGGGAAATGACCGAGGCCTGGGGAAGAGTAACTCCAATATTGGTCCCATTCCTTCTCAACCTGATCGGACGCGGGACAGCCCACAATGCACTTTGATGCTCCTTGTACATGTTCACCGCGTAAAACAAACAGAATTTTGTTGTCAAACTGATTTCTAAACGCCATTTCTAGGTATTAAGCGAACCGTTTGCCGTGTCTTCCACATCTGAACAATGGTAAGTAGCTGCAACTCCTATTTTGTGTTGAATCCCGACCGACTTCTGGTATCCTTTGGGGACAAAAACTTGCAAACAAAAGGCTTGTTTGATCTGGTTATTGCTTGGGCCTTGTGCGATCGTTAAGGAAGGTAAACACCGGGAATTATAAAATTTGAACCAGCAGAGGCTTTGTATAAACTACTTGCAAAGACACTGATCCCCTGCTACGGCCCACGCGTCGAAGGACAGTTATATTGTATTCCAATCGATGTTCGAAATCGCCATTACTTCCTTTTCTTGTCGCTGAAGATCTCTCTTCAAAGTGGAATTCTTGTGTTGCTCCTTAGAAGTGACGCGAACGGTACTGGATTTCTGCTGATTTCTGCCTCAGAAGACGTTTGAGTAACAGTTTTCTTTGTTTCTTACAATTTAGATTCTCTATCTCCTCTATTGCCTTGGGCCTAAGTTTGCTTTGTATTTTTGTCAGGCAACTTTACCTTGCTTTTTCTCGCTTGCTGCAAATGGATTTTTCTTCTGTTCATCTATAAGCAAGTCATAGCTATTTGTTGCAAGTTTTTTCAGTTAATTCATATACAGTATAATGCAATGCTACAGCAGTCTCCCCTGCAAGAATCAGATTACAATTCTGCTTATTCTTGGACGACCTTTGGAAATAAAACATGTCCTTTTGTGGGTTTATAAATTGTGAATTAATATGTCCTTCAGTTTGATGTCATGAAATTATATGGACTTATCCACTTTTCTGTGACCAAATTTCAAAGTGTTCTCTTTGAAGCAGTCACCATATAATTCGTAATGATTTGATGTGGCACCCGAGTCCCTAATTTGTAGATCAAGGGAGGGTGTTTATTGGAAAGGGGTGCGTATTATAAGTATGCTTACACGTATTTAATTTTGAGCAGGCACATCTGAATGTGATTACAATTATACTAAATGAAAAGTAACAGAAACTTTACAAATGTTACTCAAAGACTGTAACAAAGGGGCTCTGATTGTCATAATTAACAATTATTGCGCAAGCGCACGTTGGATATGAGATGGTGCATGTAGATAGCTAACAAGGCGTGTAGCACCCAGTTGGCTGTAATCATCTCATATCCAACAAGCACGAGTGGAATAATAATAATTATTGTTTTATTAAAGACGACCTCAAAATATAGAAAACTAAACTAAAATAGAAATGTCCCAGACAATGACGCATATGCTTACCATATATGTAGAGTATGACCCAACGGCTCATAACCCATGATGGCTAAGCCAATGGTCCAGTTTTTAATAATGTTCAATATTACGTTCAGATGAGAAAACAGACTTCACAATTCATTTGTTGTCTATGAATGGGTTAGTGGGATGTGGGTACTACATCAGATCATTACAGTATGCCACTGTAGTTGGTCATTCTTCTTAGGTTGTAAGACTGCTTGCAAATCAAAAGAATCCTCAACATTATGCTTGCAGTATTCAAACGAACATAGTTGTTGTCTCACTATTATCAATAAGATGCCTCCTAAGCTAGATTTACAGCAGAATCACTGTTGTGGTACCATATTTATGACCTGGAAACCTTCAGTGACAATAATAGTAATTCTTGAACCCAAATTTCTAGCTACATGTATGACACAATGATACTGTGAAGTTTCCTAGAGCTCAGAACCAGTGTCAAAACTAACTGTGAAAGAAGTTGAATTTGCATCATCCTTCAATTAGAGTATTTGGGCTTATTGGCTGATTATTGTTTGTTTTGGTCTGTAGGCAGCATCATATAGAAAAGGAGCTCTTTCAACAGGACAAAGGAAAAAGACAGGTTTGTTGGTCCAACAATTCCCTAGAATTAAACAGAGTGAAATATCTATTCAGAAGAAATACAATACAATATGTAAAATGAATCATTTAAGGTATCAGTAAGGGGAAAATTTGCCATTTTGCATAATTTTATTTTTTCAAGCGGTTGGATAAATCTTAAGGTAATCTTTAAGATAAAAAAAAACTTCAAGAAAAAATATTATATCTGCCACTAGTTATTGCACGAGAAAGATTTTTTGCATATTAATGACTTAANGGGTTATACTGATACCTTAATAGAATTTTTGCTTCTTTACTACATGTAGGTCCAAAACCAGAGTTAACAGAAGAACAGAAACAAGAAATTAGAGAAGCATTTGATTTGTTTGATACTGATGGTTCAGGGACAATCGATGCAAAAGAACTGAAGGTGTGCAGTCATTCATTTTACTATTACCTGGCATTTGGTTGTAGACAGGGTTGTGACAGGTCAGGAAATGGGACCTTAAAGAAAAAAATGTTCCTCAAGGCCAAAGAAAAGTCAGGAAATATTGTATTTTTAGGTGGGGAAAATTGACATTTTGAATAAAAATAAGGGGAAATTGAAATAAAAACATGGCTGATTTAATACCATAGAAGGCGGGAAAAAAACATTTTTACTTAATGTTTAGTGCTCCTGTTTCTTCTCTTCACAAAAGCAACATGTTCAAATTCCAATTCAACAAGGATAGAGGGCCTGCACGAAAACCAGTAAAACCTGATGTGGCTTCCTCTCTAAATATTGTAATTTTAATACACATTGTTTATAAATGTGCAACAAGTCAATGTAAGTGAAAAAGGCAAGGTACATACATAACAATTACAGATAACTCAAACCTTCAAGGAAAATTGAAAAAGGTTCGAGTTATCAGGAGTTCAAGGGATCGGAAGTTGAGAACAAATGATTGGAAATACGGAAAAAATGGGGTTCACTGTATTTCTATTCATACAGTATACATTTGAAGCAAATTTAATTATAGAGAAGTCAAGTGAAAATGGAACAGTACATTTCTCAATTACTTTCTAAATTACAAATATTTAATGGAAACAAAAGAAAGCAAAGCAAAGTAGTACAAGAAGTCCAGGTACTATGAAGTTGTCACGTTTCAAAGAGAAAAACGTCATGCGACTATAGTAACTACAGAATTCATGTGATTTACTTTTTTGAGAAACAGTTTCAGTTTTGAACCACAGTACTGATTGCTTTGAGTTTTCACATAGAGACAAACATGGTTATTGAGGGTAAAATCAAAACTTCCTGCTTTGAGTTAGTAGAAGGTTGGAGTTACCAAGGGTTAAATGACAGTAAAAGTATAACAGAAATCCTGGGGAAATCGATTTTGGTTTGAGTTACAATGTAGTGTGAGGTTCGAGTTACCTGCAGCAAGGGTTTGGGTTATTGGGAATTGATTGTATTGCATGCAAGGAAGTGACTGCCTACTATGCCTGATACATACAGGTGGCTATGAGAGCACTGGGGTTTGAACCAAAGAAAGAAGAAATCAAGAAAATGATCTCAGATATTGACAAAGATGGATCAGGTATGGCAAGTTGTTGATTGTAACAATTTAACTGGTTATTTATATGAGTATAGTTAAGTTACAAGCTTGCTTCACCAAGTTCTTGTTTTTCAAATGCTTTCTTTCCACAAAAACTGCAATTATGATATGCTGGATTTATGAAACAATGTCAGTGAACATTAATTAAATACATGTATTGCTGATGAAAAGAGAACCTTGTTGATTTCCCTGCATACACTTTATTGATTAAAACTATCAGTAGTTCTCCATAATTTTTATTTGATATTTGTAAACTTACATGTACCATTACGTGTTGTAGGATCCTTTAGAATTTTATATAATCTAGTAGATTAATGAGAGTATCATCCCATACATAAAATACCGGCTGTTTAGATTCAAGATAGATGTATTACAGGTACAGTTTATATTAATTAAATGTTTTAAAGTATTGTACATGTACATTTACTAAAGGGAGATACACATAATTATCATATTTTTTCAGGTACAATCGATTTTAATGAGTTTCTTCAAATGATGACAGCAAAAATGGTGAGCTTTTTAAACTGACTTAAGGAATTGTTGACAAAATTGTAATTTAAACAGATTTGATCAAGGTTTAGGACGTATCAGTCGTTGATACATATGTTTTCTTCACTGGACCAAGTATCCTTATGTGTTCTACATGTACAATACACATTGTATCCATTTTTGTCAAACAAAATTGTTGTGGGGTCAAACTGTGGACCAGGTGACTATTATCCTTTGTTTTAAACTGCTTGATTTGTGGAGGCAAGTCCTTCAAGAGTTGGGATTGTACCCTACACTCATAGGTCCCTGTGATTGAATGAAAAGAGTGAGTCATAGCACCATGCAGTCAGTCTGTTTCTTGGGTAAACGGTTACTCTACAGAGGATTTGTCACTGTTGCCCACATGTTAGCCTACATGTACAATGCAGCCAGACATATCACAAAATCCTCTATATCAGCTGTGTAGACTGTTTGTGATGTAGGCTACCAGCAGGTACACCACAGAAAGGTTTCTACTTCAAGTCCTCTCATGAATGCTGACCTATAACCTTCTCAGCCCTGTTCTGGTCACTAGGTCGAGCACACACAAGGTCAGATCTCTGAATGTGTACTTGTAAATACAACTGACGCCTCATGTATATTTAACTGATAGACTATGTATCTATTGATTTAAAATGATGTTTAACATCTAATTTCCGTTAATTTAATTCTTCCTTTTTAGAGTGAAAAGGATTCAAAAGAGGAAATTCTCAAAGCATTCAAGTTATTTGACGATGATAACACGGTCAGTTTATTACAGTTTATTTTGTGTGTTTGTGGGGAGTGGAATGTTGACCTTTATTTTGTTAGTGGGACCTGGACTTGAGGTCTAGAGATTGACAATATTATTGTACGATGTAGCTTTAGTGCTCCAGCTTTCTTTCTTTCGTTGTGTACACATATTCACCTACATGTAGCCTGGTTGTTTATCTTTTTTTGTTTTCATTCTAGTGTTTTTAATTCGTTTTTAATAATTAATCTTGCTGTTTTTTGTAGCTTACTCTCTATCTCTGATTGGCATATAGCACATTTACAGGTGCAACATTTTAGGAGCTTCTTGGTACATGTGTCACTTAGATTGTTAATGTTCAGTGCATCATGATTGATCCAAACCATCAACAAATTTTCCTGGTATTCATTCTTATACTGGGATAAATATTTTCTCCTAACTACATGTACATGTATTTACCATGGAATTGAAAAAGTTAGTAACTTATCTTAAAACTACTGGTACGTGTAAGTATGGAAACAGTCATTTATCAAGCAGCTTCTATGTTGAAGGTAACTGCAGCATCATATGTCAATATACTCTTTTACAGGGAAAAATTTCATTTAAAAATCTTAAGAGAGTTGCCAAAGAACTTGGTGAAAATTTAACAGACGAAGAATTACAGGTATGAATTGCCTTATTTAATCTTTTCTTTAGCTCAACTATTTCAAATTTGGCATGCTGAAATAATATGCTTATTTTACTTTGTGTTTGTACAGTATGGATTGCCAGCGGCAGTACAGTGGCCTTTTGGGGGTTTAGCAGTGGGACTGGAATTGGCAGTGGGAGGAATGGGGGGGGGCAGTGTTTGGGTGCTGAACTGGGTATATTTTACTGACAGGGATGGACCATTATTGTTTGGAAGGAGGCAGGTTGGGCAGTTTCCAAAAAATAAAAATTCCTGTACAGCAAAAACTGCTGGAAAAAAAATCGTGCAAGGAGAGCCATGGGGAAAAAAATCAAGCAAGTGCTGTCTAATAACCAGGGCCGGGTTGTTCGAAAGACGGTTAAAGCTAACCAAGGATTAAGTTAACCAAAGTAATAATTTTTCT